GAACTTTATTGTACACCAATTGGCATACGTTGCCTACAGCTCTCAAAAGGGCCACCCCCTCTAATATACACTACATGGACATGACAAAATAAATACATAAATACAAAAGTATGCGTGTACCCACATACACCTAACTTTGTATGTGGAAGGGAGGGAGGAGGAGAAAGGTTCAAGCTTGCTGGCAGCCTCATCATCACCGGCCCCATAAGAAGATGCTGGTGATGACCCCCCCCAATGCCCCCCCCCCTCCCCCGCCTCACCCTGCGGGGCCACGAAGGAGGCGGCGGCGGCGAGGAGGGCGCAGGGCAGGAGCAGCGCCGGCAGAGCCATGGCGGGCGGGCGGGCGGCCGGGCAGGCGGCGCCGGCGGCCAAGGGCAACCGCTAACGGGCGCGGAGGGAAGAGAACGCCTCGCCGGCGCGGCGCTTCCACGCGCCCAGAACCTCCGCCGGGGACGCTTCGGTGGGCGCCTCCACATTCGACGGCCGCTCCGAATGGGACGAGGCAGCCAGTAACCGAAAGGCGCGCTGGGCACCGAGCAAACAGCCCTTCATATACTTTATGCACCGCTTTACAGAGTCAGCCTAACCCAACAAGTCGTTTTACCTCCTCCTCCTCCTCCCTTTTCTTCTCCTCCTCTTCCTCCTCTCCTTTTCCTAATTCTTCCTTCTTCTTCTCCTCCTCCTTCACCCCTCCTCCTCTTCCTCCTCTCCTTTTCCTAATTCTTCCTTCTTCTCCTCCTCCTTCTCCTCCTCCTTCACCCCTCCTCCTCTTCATTCTCCTCTTCCTTCTTCTCCTCCTTCTCTTCCCTCTCCTTGCCTTTTCCTCCTCCTCTTCTCCTCCTCCATTCCTTCTCCTTGCCTTTTCCTCATCCTCCCTTCTCCTCCTCCTTCTCCTCCCCTCCTTCCTCCTCTCCTCCTCTTCCTCCTCCTCCTCTCTCTTCACCCCTCCTTCTCCTCCTTCTCCTCCTTTCCTTCTTCTTCTCCTCCTCCTCCTTCTCCTCCCCCTCCTTCCTCATATCTCCTCCTC